GGTGTGCCCGCCCAGAGGCTGCGCCAGGCCAGGCTGCCCTGCAGCTCTGTCACCACCACCTCTGGGCTGCCCAGCACGGCAGTGGTGACAGTGTGGAGCAGCCACAAGGCAGCTCATAGATGGTGGTGACAGAGCCGCAAGGCAACCCAGCATGGCTTGGGCTCTGGGCAGCCACACCAAAACTGCTTGGTGGCAGCGAGGGGGAGGGGCTGCTTTCCCTTGTGCTGAGCAGCAGTTTCTGCCCAGCTGCTGATGCTCAGCCTGGATGGTTGAGCCCAGCTGGTGCTGGGGCCCAGGCTCAACAGCAACGGTGTGGGAGAGAAACTGCTGCTCAGCATGGGGGGAAAGTGACCCCTCCCTCTCCTGCTGCCAGTGCTTTCTGGTGCAGCTGCTCAGAGCCTGCATGGGGCTGCCCTGTGTCTGCTCTACACTGCCACTGCTGCCCCATGGGGCAGCCCAGAGGCAGCAGTGACGTGGTGGAGACCCAGAGCAGCCCTGTGCAGATTTTGGGCAGCTGCACCAGGAAGCATGGGGGAGGAGCTGCATTTCCCCCCCACACAGTGAGCAGCAGTTTGTCCCATGCTGCCGCTGCCCAGATGGGCAAGCATTAGGTCAGGGCTGTGTGTGCTAGTCCCTACCTGTACCCCGGGGCTGGGGTGGGGGAGACTGGAAGCAAGTGGGTGCGCAGGAACACAATGACAGCCAGATGGGAGTGCAGGGCCTGCACCAGTGTCCCGGGGTCAACATTGGCAGGGCCCAGAACGGGGCGGCAGGAGTGCAGGGTCCCAGCCAGCAGGGGCTCTAGGGAGCCAGACCAGCTCCCCCCTCTCCCTGCTGGCTCAGCCCAGCCCAGCCCACCTCCATAGACCCCTGCCAGCCCGTGCCCTGCACTCCTGCCGCCCCACTCTGAGCCCCGCCGGCGCTGGCCCCGGGACACCAATGCAGGCCCTGCACTCCTGCTTGTTTCCACTCCCCCCTGCCACCACTTTCCCCCTCTTTCCTGCCCACCCGCTGGCTGCTTCTGCACCATGTGGCTCCCAGCTGTGTAGCCACAACCACAGGACTCAGTAGGAGCTGACCCAGCCCTGCTGACTGGGGCAATCACCCATGGTTCTCCCCTGACTGTTATGTAAATCTACTCTCCAAAAGATGAGCCAAAAGCCTCAAAACCCAATTAACTAAAACAGAGGCTTTATTTCAACATATCGCACACAGCATCACCATGCAAATGCCCAACAATAATTCAAGACTCACCTGAACCTTTTTCACCAACCCCTTCTTTTTCAGTTTGCAATCACTGAAATTGTCTGGCAGATTCTGCAATAAAATAATGAACAAATTGATGTTGCTTAATCCTGAAACCAATGTATAAAACAAAGAGAAAAAGTGTATGAACATAAATATTAATATTCAACTATATAGCTGAATCCATTGAACAGGCAGTCTGATAACAGCATGACCACTTAGCTGAATGGATTATTTTGGAAGGTATCCAAAACCATTATAGGCTTTTGCCTCCAAGGAAAGACTGGTGCCCTCTGGTGAGTGACCCAGGCCTACTTGGCACTCAGCTTTTTAAGGGCACTACGCTGTCCTTCCTTGATCTTACTTGGTATAAATGTGGGAGGCAGCCTTTACATTACTGCAGTGACACCATAGGTGCCTTTCTCCCTCTTCTCATCACTGAGCCACCTCTTATCTGGCACAATCAATAACAAGCTGAGTCTCTCTGCAGAGTGTTTCTACACTCACTCAGGCTAAGTCCCTCTCCCAAGCATCTTGCCGTGGAGTAAGTTCAGTCTCATTGCAGAGCATCTCTGTCCTCAGTTAGGTTCAGCCCCGTGTTGGTGTCTTGCCCCTGAACAAACTCAGTTCTAGGGCCTCAGTCAGCCTGTTCATGCAGAACTGACAAGGTTTAGCGCCCTCAGTCTGCTCTCGCAGAGCTAACACCACAAATCAATGAAAATAAAGTACTCTCAGGGCCTCCCTACTCTTCTACTAGCCACCCCATACCTCACAGCTAAAGAATCACCAACAATCCTTAACAAAAAACACATCAGCTCTCCAGGGTGCCTTTCTGCAGCCCTCCCCACTTCTATCACTGGCTATCCCCCAGCTTTGGCTACTCTAGGGTTCCTCACTGTACCGCATCTTTGTGATCCTCTCCCCAACAAATTCCTTCCTCTCTTGCTCTCTGGGCCAGACTGCCCACTCTGTCCAGAAGCCCTGTTTGTATCCCTCTCCAAGCTCCACTCCCTTCCACTAACCTCACTCCCCACCCCCTAATGGTGCCCAGGTGTTCACTGCCTAGATGGCAAGCTACACAGATTGCAGCTTGTTCTGCTGCCAGCCACCTGCAAATCCCTCTGCAGCTTGCTGCCTACATTCTCACAGCCTGCCCACTCAACTCAGTAACAAGGCTTAGGAACCAGGGTTCAAATTACAGCCATATAGTGGGGGGAGGAGGGGGGCTAGGTCTTCCTATAAGAGACAAGAGCCCCGCCATAAGAGACTAAACAGCTCAGGCAGGGGCTCCTTCCAGCTGCCGCAGACTTCCCCCCACCACCCCAAAAGTCGGAGTGTAATTTGAACCCTGTTAGGAACTCCTGTTATATGGGTCAATTTAAGTTACATGCCCATTCTGTTCTGCAAGTTAATACTTGGGAGTGAACTGGCATTTCCTGTTACAAGTTTCCAAAAACTGAGAATCACTCATCTAACCCAATAACTTAAATTTCATTTTCATTTAATACCAAAGTTGAAAATTACACCAGAAAGATTCAAACCAAAAGCTGTAACAAAAAGTAGGGCTAAGGGCATCAACAAGGTCTAGGGCAACCTCATGAACAGGGATTGTGCCCGTCTGTTTGTGTTGTGCTTAGCATACTAGTAATGCTACAAGACACTAGAGTAACTGGGCAGACTCCATCCCTTCCCACCCACAACAGAGAAAAAGGAAGGGTGTGAAGCAAAGACCAGATCAGAGACTCTTCCATCCCTTTTGTTCCATGTTGTATCTCTGGTGTTCTCATGACTGCTCTGGCTTTCCCAAACAACAGAAATGACACTTGTCAATTTTCAATACTGATCACTAGGGTCAAAATAGTAACAATGAAACTGAACAGTATTTTCCAGCACCCTTAATAGCTGGGTTATTATTTTGTTTATTTTGGGGGTTTACCATTGCAGTATGTTCAAATTTGTCTTAGAATTTTTTTAATGATTTTTCATATTGTTTCATAACATCCTTATGTGACATTTTTGGAAAGAAAACCATAAAGTGAGAAAGGGTTCATTGCAATACCTTGTGCTGGAAAATACACCCTTAATAGCTGTACAAGGAAATCATGACTATAACATGCATGCAATGATATTACAAAAGGCCAGTGTGTGACTCCTAACATTATGAACATTTGTCAAGTCACCTGTTGGATGTGCAATTGGTTTTATCATCCTGTAATTATTGATTAATAGACCAATATACATATGATAACCTTCATAGGGATTGATAGGGATTATGCATATGACAGTCTTCAAGAATTGGCCTATACTAGTTAAAGCCACTTTTAAATGTGATCTCTATTATAAGACTGAAGGGACTGAGGCCAATTACATAAATGAAACAAAATTATTAGAATCGTAGATAGAATCCTAGATTATAGTGAGAGACATTAGACACTGGAAATCAAGAGATTGTCAGGAAAGAATTGATAAATTTTCTACCAACTGTAGTTGACTAAAGATGATTTTCATACAGTAATTTGAATTGAAGCAGGGAGGCATGGAGGAATTAAGTTCTGTGTTACAACAGGGAATAAAACTTTCCTTTTCAGAGAAAAGGAGAATTTATTTCTCTGGTGATGGTAGATAATCTAATTCTGAAGAATTTAGACTTCTGTTTGAAAAAAAAAAAAATTGTGCCTCGTGATTGAAAGAGAACTTTCCAGACATGAACTGCTGTAAGATTGTCTACCTGAATTTGCAGATACCATGTTTGTGACACTTCTGCTGATATTCATAGTTTTACCAGCAGGGAGAATTTAACAAGAACCTAATCAGATTCATTGCTGTTTTGACCCTAGTGATCAGTATTGAAAATTGACAAGTCAGTAAATAACAAAATCAATGCCTCACAGTAAATTATACAGTATAACTGCTGTGTTGAGAGGCTGAAGTTATATTTTAATTATGATACAATACATCAGATGTTTTCTCTAACATTTCTGTGGGTGAATATTTTGTGATGAAAAAAACCATGCTGCATCTCCATTCTGATTTTAGTACAACAGTACATTTTGGGAGCAAAATGTATCATACTTAATGAGGGTATGAAAGAAGCACTTGAACACATGAGCAAGAATATACAGTGTCAAGTTTATCCTAAATTTGTTTTACTTGACTGAATTTGTACTAAGCTGTGTGGCAGTGCACCTTTGGGTGCTTGCCACTTATAAGGGCTGGAGCAGGCAACCAGCAGGTACCCGATTAGGGCAGCCATTTTAAAACTAAGGTCAGTCACGCACAGCCAGCAGCGTGTTGCTTGCAGCCGAGGGAGCAACATCACCCGGCTATGCCAAGTCTCGCAACATCCTGGAGGTAAGAGCAGAAGCTAGGGGGATGGCTGGAGGCTCCTGGTCCTGGGCATGACCTAAAACCGCACCCTGCCAGGGAAAGAAGACATAGCAGCCCCACTCAAATACCAGGACCACTCACCTCCCTGGTGAAAAGCAGGTCAGGGCACCTTACTAACCCCTGGTCCCTACAACACCATGGGTACAAGGGCCAGGCACAGCTACGGCCACCTGAGCCCCCACAGAGGAATAAGACCCCAGAGGCCCCAGGGAGGGCATAGCGGAGTGGCCCCATAACGGGGGGAAGTTATGTGGCCCTAGAGAGAGAGGGGGCAAAAGTGCAGCCCACCCAGAGTAGGGTACGTCTTTACTGCCTGAAAGATCAGGCATAACTCAGGGTTGAGTAGGGCTGTAGGACGGTCTGAAGGGCAGCCCCAGGGGGTGTGTTGAGTAGGGTTGAACCAGAGTAGGCTTGAAATACAACACACAGGCAAGAGCGTGTAGAGTTGCCTGGGAAGGGCCAAGGCAAACTTAGCCCAGGTTAGGTTATTGGCTGGCCACTACCCAGGTGAGGGTCACAGGGGAGGCCCAAAAGACTGTACATCTGGCACCCAAGGAGTGAATCAAATAAGCCCCAAGGCCTACAGGGTTGCTTCAAGAGGGAGCAGGACAGAGCAGAGGGGGCACAGTATGATGCAGAAAGCAAGAGACCCTGTGAGAGGGGGTGGAGTGCAAGAGGCCCCAGTGAGAGGGGGCAGTATGAATGTGTGTATGTAAAAGGCCTGACAAGAGGACTAAGTTTGGTCCGGTTTTAGGCCAGGTGTGTTAAATGATCCTAGATACCATCTCTGAGGCACAGGCAGGTTCAGAACTGTGGATAGCACCCCATGGCATGGGGACATAGAATGGGCAGCTTCCCACATTTACCACCATAAGTGAAAGTGATACAGCAAAATTGTGGCAGGAAAGACTGGGCAGACTGCCCCACAGACAGGTGGGAAGGCCAACATGAGACTCAGCCCCAGGCTTGCCCCCTGTCACACTCAGGAAGGCCTAATCATTAATAATAGTTTTTCACCATATAAATTCAGGGATGTGATAACGCAACTTCTCATGATGGTTCTTAACATACTTTAGGAGATGCCATTACCTAACAAGCAAGAGAATTTAAAGTTATATGGATAAATCAATAACTTATCCTACAAAAACACATGCAATAGAATAGTCTTAGTTCAGTTACAAGCATTTCTTACATCTATCTACTCTTTTGGAAAACCACCAACACAGATTGCACCTTAAACAAGACTACTTACGAAAGTAACTGAAACTATTACCCAAATCCACTGGATCTTGTGTAACCATTAGGACAGACCTAAAATCCAGTGATGCCAAAGAGAAGTTTTAAAGATATGTAAATCCTATAAAAATATCCACGTAAACGTCGGTAACTGGAGTAGAACTCTAAGTTAGTTTACTTGAAGAAGCCACTTATGAGATCACGTATATACAAATTTAAAATCCAGTTCTGTAACTAAATCCAGCCAGTCAGACCCCTGTGCCTGCACAAAGCCTACTGACTTCTACTTTTAAACCCATTTTCAACAACATTCCACATGGATATGGAACTGAAGCCCTAAGCATCTTAACTCACCACCTTGCTTAAAGAGGAGTTTGGATGCAGATTAAAGAAGATTAAAACTCTTAAAATCAAATAATCTCACAGTCTCTCTGCTTTACCATAGCCAA